TCAGCCCCTGCCCCTCCTCTTCCCCTTGTGAGGAAGCTGTAGATTGCGATGAGGTCTCCCCTCAGTCTCCTCTTCTCCAGGCTGAACAGACCAAGTGGCTTGAGCTGCTCCTTTTATGGCTTCCCCTCTAAACCCTTCACCATCTTCGTGGCTCTTCTCTGGACACTCTCCAGTAGCTTTGTATCCTTTTTGTACTGTGGCACCCAAAACTGCACACAGTACTCAAGATGAGGCCGCACCAGTGCAGAGTAGAGCAGGACAATCACCTACTCAACTGGCTAGCAATACAGTTGCCATGTCCCAGGTGCAAAATCCAGCACTTGCCCTTGTTAAACTTCATACGGTTGGTGATTGCCCAGCTCTCTAATTTGTCTAGATCTCTCTGCAGGGCCTCTCTGCCCTCGAGAGTGTCAACAGCTCCTCCCAATTTTGTGTCATCGGCAAACTTTGATAACAAACCTTCAAGTCCTGCATCCAAGTCATTTATGAAGATATTGAAGAGCACTGGCCCTAAGATGGATTCCTGCAGAACCCCACTAGTGACTGGTTTAAAAATCCTTTGTTTAAAGACAAAGAAAGAAGTCTGATAAAATGACCTAGTAGAGTGATCACCCATTTTGGTTACATTTAGACTAAAAGGCCAAATTTAGAGGTCCAATCTCATGAAATGTGAATCTAAAAGGGAACCGAGACAAGTGAAAATCCTGAGTTTACATTAATATAGCTTACACCATAGAATCAGGAGAAGATGCAAGTTCTGCCAACTCAGGTTCTCCTTTAAGTTTAGTCCATTATTTAAAATTATTAGAGGTAAATTAAAAACAAGAACTTTCTTCGGTTCACATACGAACTGGCTAACATTCCAGTCCTGTAAAACATCTGTCTGCCACCATGAAGCTAAGATCTGTACCACGGGTCTGTAAGCCAGCAATCACGTTAGGCTTATATTGTAATACCTTTATAATTGTGATAGTCACTTTGAAATAATACCAAATGCCAGAGCACATTAGATCTATGAATATTAGGAGAAGATGAAGTAACTTATGTTCAAAGAAGGCAGATACGGGAAGTGGAAATTTTTGAATGACAAAATATCTATATCCATGGCAATCTATGGCAATTTTTGTAATATATAGTGCAATTTAAAGTATTAGCCCACAAGAAGATAGTTTTAAGGGCCAAATAATTCCCTGAACAGTCCAATCTTTGATCAAAGACAGAATCTTTCATGTAGCTAGGCTTGCACAGGAGCAGTCATGGTAAGGGAAAGGTTCAAAAAAGTTACTCAGTGTGTAATGAAAGGGGCAGACTGAGGCTCCGTAATCATCCATTAAAGACCCTGTAGGATGAATAATAACTAAAACTACGTAAAAAACAGTAAACTACGGAAAAGCTTTTGGTATGCAGTGTGTCAGTCTTTCCAGTGCATGCAACATTCAGCCTTACTATCTGTTAATGCAGATTTGAATAGATGTCTTGAAATGAGGGCATCCTTCAAGTTATCTTAATTTAGTGATCTCCTTACCACAGGCTCTCTGGGGAATTCATGTTTTCCTTGGGTATTTTCAGGCTTCCTGTGTGGGAGACTGCCAAAAAGGATTACTAATGCAAATGAGATGAGGCTACTCTTTCTTAAACACTTGAAATCTTCATTCCCAATGGAGAATTTTATATTATATTTACACAGACATATATTAACAAAATTAAAATGAAGACATTTGACCCCCAAGATTTTTCTCCTTCTGAGGATGGTACAGGAAATTGTTCCAGTCTGGGGCTTGCTCAGATGTCATTTTGGTGCCTGATGACCATGCTTAAGGCTGCTGTAATGTATGTTGTTTTGAAACGTCCATTCCAAGGATGTGCCAAGAATACAAGAGCGTCCCTTATCCTACACATCATCTCTAAGCATGGATTTGGCAGGAAAAATTGCTCAGTTGTTACTCTTAGGGAAGTCTTTGTAAATAAGTAACATTGGAAGAAGCTTAGTCATATAAAAATTCAATGAGCCAAGACAAAATTAAAGCTTACCTGGCCTTTCTTGCTCCACATCAAAGCTTGACTACTTTTATAGTTTTCTAATCATTCCATAAAACATGAACTAGGAAAAAAAAAAAAAGTTCTCTGGTGTCAGCAACAACTTTTTTCATCCTGATTTTTGATTTTCTGATTAGGTTATGCATGACCTCTAATAAACTACCTTCAAAGCCTGAGGACTGTAAGATGCTTTCTTTCCAGGCTGTGTCTTGTCAAGGGCTACTCTTTAGCCAGCCTCCATAACCACCATGGGAGAAGCTTTTCTCCATGGACTTACAAACGTTTGTGAATAAAAGTTATTATTTCCAGTGCAGGCTATCGTGTTTGGAAATACTGATTGTATCAAGATAACCTTAATAAGCTTTCTGTCATGACAGGTTGCCTTGGAAGGCTCATTTGGCTGGAGGAACTATCAACATATTATCCCTTTCTATACAGAACAAGCAATAGTATCAGACTAAGCCTAACAGAGGTTTCCATATTTGAAAGAGCATTCTCTTTCTCTAATTTTTTATTTAAGTGGCATTACAAAACTGTTTGACAAGCACTAATTAATCTACAGTTAAATTCAGTGTTACTATTGCCATATCATTAGTGGGGTAGGAGAGTAACAGGATTTCATGTTCAGCCTGTCCCTAAGAAGCGAGCCATTGCCAGAACTGAGGCACAGCACAAGAGTCTCATTCTTTCAAAGAAACTCTCTGCTGACTTGTGGTATCACATACCTACCTACCTAACCTGCCTGCCTCTAGCCAGCAGTTCACTCCCAGTTCATTCTCACCCTCCATGGGCCATCTAGCCCTTCTGCGCCTTCAGCCAAGGCCAGTGCTTGTACAGGCTGGACCAGGGAGCTGAGCCAGGTGAAAATGAAGAGATTGTTTTGGATTGTGTGTGTGTTTGGGTTAGCTTCTGGATGCACCAGTTCCCTGATCCGACTGACAACATGGCTGCTTGAGTGCTCACACTGGCAAAAAGGAGGCAGCAGGGTTGGGTGCAAGGATGCCTCCCTCAGGGACAGCTCAGTTTTAGGTTGGTTTAAGCTGGCCACAAAACCTACCCGTATCTTCAGAGAGATGGAACCTTCACAGAGCCATATGCTTTAATAAATGACAGTCCAACCAGTACACAGCCAGTAGAGATTAATCCAAGAATTAAGCCAGCTGCTTTCAGTAAGGTCAAGCAAGTGGCATATTTGTTTACTGCACCACTAAACATTCATTTTTAAACTGCTGACCAGCAAATTAATAGATATTGTATATGTAGAAAGCTCCCTTTTCCTTTCTCTCCCAAAAGAAAAAGGTTAGTTCAAAACATCAGAATGTGTACTTTTCACTTATAGATTTCAGCACATACTGTTTACTTGGTTGTCTGTGTAGAGGCCATTATGCATAAATCAGTGCAGAGAAATAGAGGATTGTTTTATTACACAAAGAAGTTTTCAAAAAATGTCTTAATTTCTTGTTCAGGAAATGGCACCATTGTTTACTTAAAACAGGTATGTTAAGTGTCCTGGAGGAATTTTGTTTAAGGAGACAGACTAGCCATCGTTGTGAGTAAGAGTGCTGCATTGTTCTTGACAATGGCAATTAGGAAGATATTTTGATCTGAAGGTAATTAGCAAAAGTGGCAAAAAGCTATTCCAAAACTTGACGAATTTTCCAAATGTTGAAAAGTTGAAATCAGTCCAGTTCTTGGGACCAATTTGAGATTACGCAAAAGTATTGCTTAATATCAACAAGAAATCAGCTATGAAGAATCTCTGTAATTTCCATGGTATTAACAGCAATGCATTTCATATACAAATTAGCAGACCTGACAAGATACTACGTCAACATCTTAAATCCCTCAAATTTTGTTATCCTGGGGTCAGATTAGCAAGATGTTAGTGAGCAGAAAGACTACTCTCAGTCCTTTTCCACATGAACCCCCATCCCACCTTGAATCTTCTCAATTGCTTTTCCCCAACAACAGTATCCATAACCCTTACCACCTTCCAGCCTCTTCTCCCCAGCCTCCAGTCCTCCCACCTCCTCAAAACCTCTGTGGACATTCCTCACCTTCCTTCTTCCCATTTACTTCCCTGAAATCCATTCGTCCCCAGCCCACTGAACTTCCCACCAAACCTTCCTGGCTTTCCCCATTCTTAGTCCTGTGCTCTTACCTACCCAGGGACCCAGTATGCCACAGGTGCAAAATTAAGTTCTGCCTTTCCAGAGATAATTTATTTTCAAATTACATCTAATTCTGTGTGAACTACTGAAAGAGCAATTATAAGCCAATTTAAGAGGAGAAAGATAAAACCGGAACTTTTTACCATTGTATTACAATACCCAACACACAACACTGAAGACGTTTGTCTTGAACGAGATCATGTTCCCACGCTTCAAACCCCTGTGGAGCAGAAGTGACCTGTTCCACCATAGCACATGACAATGTGTTGTCATACGGTAGCTCAAAATCTCTGCTGTATGCAGATTTTGCTGTTTGCAAGATGGGATGAGTGAGAGGCTTGTCAGGCAGCTAGTTGTGGTTCCAGATCCTCCAGCTAATTCAGTGCTTGTCTGGACAGCTCTAAACTATACCAGCTGCTACTAGTCCCCCTCGGGATCATTTTCTAATTGCAGATTACCAGGCACAGCAGGGCATCCCGTTCTTCTCTGGGGGCAATCCTTGTGCTGGGATGGAGGCGAGGAGATTTATGAACCAAGTACGCAAACCTCAGCTGAGAATTGCCTGCGTGGTAGAGACAACTACCGATTTCTGGTGCTTTTGTGACTTTCGTGCAGGGAATCCATCTTTCGCCATACTAATATCAGCCTGTTAATTCGTCAGTGTGGGTATTATACACCAGAATGGTTTCATTGCAGTTTATTCAGGTGATTGGTATCTGGGTTTATGCTAATCCAGGGCTGTGCTGTCCTGTCAAATCCATGTGTCTGTGTCGTCACTTGTACTGAACTCACTTGTCCGGTCCATCTCATCGGAGAAAGCCTCTATGTCGTGTTTTTCCCACACCAGAAATCTGATTGTCAGGTCCTTGGTGTTACATCGGTGCGACGAACATGAAGCTGTAGTCTGTATGCCTAGGACATGATTTCAAATAAGAAAGTTTTAATAGCAGCGGTGATCCTTAAAAGAAATTTAATCCTTGTCAGTGACCTCTTTGTATGTCTCGCCAAAAATATTTTGAAGTTTCAGCTATGATGTGGGACACTAATTTTTTTCTTACTAATCTTTGGAAAACGCAGAAATCCTGCACGAAAGATGACAAAACACTGAGTAAGATTTCAAATTCCAAGATCGGCTCTGTGAATGGCTCTCCAAAATCACAAAAGCTTCCAGGGAGATCTTTTTACTCCTGAGACCTGTCTTAACTGTGTGTCTGTGACGTGTCAGTCTTACGGTGCTACCTAACTATTGCGTGAAGAAGTTTTTCGTACCCGTTGCTTGTGCTAGGATTTGCTTTACCTGTCACTAGAGGGCAACACAGCTACTCACATCATTACACCACCCCGGTATCCTCCCAAGCCACTCTGCTGACATCCACGGGTGAGAATGTCACGTCAAAATTTGCCCTGTTTCCCCTACAGTTGAATACTTTTGAGTGGACGAACCCGAACGTCGCTAGGAGGAGAACAGTTCATGCTGTTTACAGCAATAGGACTTCTCTCTTTATCTCGCTTCCTCATAGGGGTCATCGTCCACCGCAGTGCTGAGAACGGTAACTGCAATCGGTTTCCCTGATTTTGAACTACTGATGCCAATGGGAGATTTATCGCTGACTTAATTTCATACAGGATTTGGTCTTTGGTACTGACTTTTACCCACAGCTGCGTATACCAGAATATTGTTTGCCCAGGTTGGTTTATACTGACCTTCTGAAAAGTGATTCAAGAGCAACAGGTATCTTTGGGTTTTGTGCAAGCTGCAGGGGGGGGGGGGGAAATAAGAGAGTTTGGTTCTGTCACATGTAACTCAAATATTGCCAAAGAGGCTGACTTGTCTTAACTTGCAAGCACCTGGCATGGAAACAATCTATCATTTTGAGCATTCCTAAAGACGGTAATGCTCTCATTTAGCCATGACTATGCTGGCTACATGAAAGGGTGGCGTAATTTCCAAAGAAGATAAGGCTGTCTGATTACCTAGTATCAAAGGTGATTTTAGCCATTTCACTGAGATTAAGTCTTTACAGGCCCCCGTGATTTTTACCATGTTGCCAACACCCTACTCTGTCTTGGAGTCATAGTTCTCTGATTTCATGTGATTATCTTGGGACAGTTTCCAAGCATGTATGAGCTGGATTACCACCTGAGTATATTTTCTTCCCTGCTTACTCAAGTGGTGTCTCAAGATCATCTTTAAAGGAGCCTATAAATATATATATATATTCAAGCCTCACAAATGCAAATGTGAAGCTCACATACTTGACTCCTGCCTCCTGCTTCTCTGCGGACATGTTTGCAGTGTAACCCCACAGTTTCGCTCCCATTCCATGTGGCAAATGCAGGTAACTCTAACCAACTGTTAGCCTTTTTTTTTTTTTTTAATAAAGAAGGTAGAAGACATCCATATTTAGATCTTGGAAGAATTTTCTTTTGTGATAGGTGAGAGGAGGTCTTGCCAAGTTATAAGAGTTAAAATATAGTGGAGTTGGAGTACGGGAGAAAGGCTCTGGGGCTGTCCTCTCCCCAAAATGCCATGCTAGAAGGAACATTACTATTATTCAACAGAAGCCTAATATTACATATCTCTCTTTAATTGAGTAGCCTTGTACATTCATACATCCCTTGTCATATGTGATATGTAAGTCCCTCCCATGAACTAAGACTACTTGAGGGGTCTGAACGTAGATATCTTACCACCATTTTTAGAGGTACATGTTTCACGTACATTTTGATCCTACACATACTTGCATTAAAATACAGTTTTGTTTTTTTTCTTAAAGCTTTGGGGTAAGAAAATATGGTACCTTTTAATTTAATGGTAAATTTTTATTTAACAAGAACTTTTTATTAAATACAGTGTCTTCTATTCGGAATGCAGGACTTGTTATTTGGGGTTGAGTCATACATTCATTTCCTTCAATATCCTTTTTCTGACATTGTCCAGTATAGCAAATTTCAGAAGAAGGCGGATGAAATCCTGCTGCTGGTTATAGTGAAAGCTGCCATTTTTCTTTCTCAGAAAAATTATCCAGAATTTACAAATAGTTGTATTCTAACACTCAGCTATATCCACATCATATTTTAAAAGAAATGTAGATGCTATCCTAATTCTTGTTGCTGTAGGCCAGCTTCACTTTTTTTTTCTTAGCCCTTTTCAATCTTAAAGATAACAAAAGGTGATGAAAAAGTCTTTGTGGTGAATCCCAAGACTAGGATATCCCCAAGGCAACGTGGTTAGTGCAAAACCAAGAAAAGCATTTAATTCTGTAGATATAATCCGGTCCTTTCAGTAAGTGAATACAACCCTATTAAAAACTCATCTGGATAAAAAAATAAACCACTAGGCAGAGATTTTGCTAGATTTGGGCAGCTAAATTCTCCCAAGAGTCCCTCTGCATGCAGCTGGTTTTGTCTCCGGGCCCCAGGTGCTGACACCCTGATCGCACTCCAGGACCACACAGGCGCTGAGGAAGAGCAGTGGTATGAACGGCGCACGCCAGCCGGAGCCAGGCAGCTGTCACACCTCCTGTTAGGAAAAAAAAAAAGAAAAAAGAAAAAAAAAAGAGAGAGATAAAAGGAAAAAAAAAAAGGAAAAAAATAGTTTTGTTTTAAACAACCCTTCTTGTGAATCAAAACAATCACCAAAAGTCAAAACGTGAACTTTTGCGCCCCCTTTTTTTTCCACTCCAGTCACACCTCACCCCACTCCCGAGAAGAAAAATGAGGTAAAACCAGCAGGGACTCGCCAAACCGTGGCCGCGCTGTTTCCTCAGGACACCTCCCAGCAGCAGGGCCAGCCAGCGGGTCCGCGACGACATGAAGCCGGCCGCCAGCCGTATGTTCGAGCCCCTTCCCTCCTCTCAACCTACGAGGAGGAGGAGGAGGAGGAGGGTCGGTTTCACCCCGAGGGGCTGCCGAGGACAGCGGGGAGGACTCCGCCGCCGCGCTGAGAGGAGCGGTGTCGCGCACAGGTGAGAGCTGGCGAGGCGGGAAGGAGGGAGGGGAGAAGGGGAGGGGTGTGCGTGTGTCCCCCTCTGCCCCTTGGGCGGGCCGGGGGGAGCTGAGTGGATGAAGCCCGCGTCAGTCAGGGGTAGGGCGAGGCCGGCGACGGGGGATGGCGGCCCCCGCCCCGGGCGTTTGGGGCTTCAGTTGTGGAAG